GATGTTGGGAGCACTTGGTGAGTTTGATTTGCTACTGGGCGAATCTGTTGAGGCTGCGGTCTTGTTTTCTGTTGTTGCGCAGCCTACACTTGTGGTTAGAGTGTTAGAGGCACAGAGAGGTGACCATGAGGTAGAATCCCTCAGAGAGAAGATCTCTTTTCTGTTTTGCAACTCGGTTGCTAATGTGTTGATAGACACGGGTGCATCTCATTCTTTTGTATCTGCTGCATTTGCATCTGTTTTGGAATTGGAGTTAGCACAGTTAGCATCTCCTATTTGTGTGGTATCGCCTTTGGGTGGTGAGTTGATTCTGAAACAGGGTGTTAGAGGATGTGATATAGAGGTCGCCGACTATAGGCTTCCTTTTCCGTTTGTTGTCATGCCCATGAAGGGTTTTGATGTTATTTTGGGTCGAGTTAGTACTCTTTTGTTGTAACCAAGTGTTAACTTGGAAAGCTGTAAGCCCGTAGGGCATTTTGTTTTGATGTTAACATGTAATACTTATGTAATGAAACTCAATGAAATAAAGGAATGTGGTTAGTTTATATGTAAATGCATGTCGTATCTGACGGGTTTAATGTTATTATTTTGAGGGCGTTACAATATTATTGGTTAAAAAGTTGGAAACCAAAATGAAAAGCTAGTGTCACAGTAGTAATGGCATTTGGGACTGCCCACGGGCGACTTAGTTGAACAAATAAATTAGATCATTTAACAATTACATAGCAGTGTTTGGGTGGCCTGGTGCACTCTAATAAATAACCAAAGCTGTTCTCCCAGCAAATACAGTACATACACTTCATAGATTTTCCATTCATTGAACAACAAAACTACATCATTTCTAATCACCAACCATGTCCAAAGTTAATACAAAAATTATAAGTTGTTACTCACACAGCTGCCACATATATCTCTATACCTCTACATATGCACATAAATGACACAGATAGAGGCAGAGAACATGTATACAACTGCAAAAATGAACCAAGAAATATTTTGTTCCAAAAACATTTATAATTATAAGATTGTGATTAAGCTCATAACCTAACCTTGAAGCAAAGCAGAATTCAAACATTCAGATAAGAGTCAAAATCGATCAACCATATAAAATCCATTCCATTTTAAAAATAAAAAATAAATCAAGAGCTAGGGTTTTGCCAAACAGAGATGAAATATTTAGATAATAGCAGAAATCAGCGAGCTACAAATGGTGAGAAAGAGAGGCAAATCGAAGAGTTGATAAAGGAGATAGGCAAATCATACCAGAGAGAGGGTCGATTGGGGGGTGAAAATCAGAATGAACTTTGGTTCGTCTTCGTATAGCGATTTGAGAGCCAATGCGGGAGAAAGAAGACGCCGGTGAGGGAGAATGGAGACACCGGTGAGGGAGGAGCGACGTCGGCAGTGAGGAAGGAAGGAGCGAGCAGTAAGGAAGTAGTAGCTGTGTGAGTAGAGTAGAGAGAGGCGATGTGCCTGTGTGAGTGTGAACCCCTAAAATAAGTCAAAAAGATAAAGGCACACAGATATATAGAAAGAGGGGTTTGATACTAATATATATAATCACACTTTTTCAAAACGTGTGATTAAAAAAAAATATTATCACACTCATTGAATTAAGTGTGATTAAGAAATTATTTTTATTTTTTTAATCACACTTTTAATAAAAATGAGATATTTTTAATTTTTTATCTATGATTTTTAATCACATATTAATTAGAAGGTGTGATTAAAAAGTATATATATATAATCACACTTAATTGAAAAGTGACATAAAAAATAGCACTATCACACTTAATCAAATTAAGTGTGATTAAAATATCAATTTAATTTTTTTTATCACACTTTTCAATAAAAGTGAGATATTTTTATTTGTTAAAGTGTGATCTTTAACTATTTTTGTAATAATGTTTTTTTTCTGTTGGAAAACACAATTTTTCCAAAAATAAAACTTGTAGAATCATTATAAGATAAAAACACCTTAAATTTGTCTTTGCATGGAATATTTTCAGTCTCTAGTGTGATTGTTTTTACAATCTCAGAATCTATTTTGACAATGGTTCAAAAAACAATCCCAAAAAAAAGTAACCATTTCTAACAAGTAATCCACACCAAGTAAAACCTTTAGTAGGAAAATCACTATTTACTTTTGAACTTCACCAATGTATGTGAATGAAAATTACGGGTCTCAATATCCCTTGTTTACAAAACTTCAGCAATATTAGTAAAAAAAATCATGGTGTTTACTATGAAATTCACAAATGTGATTATACAAAATCACAAACAATCCCAGATTGCAAACATAAAGGTGCCGTTTGGTAACACTTACGTTTTCAATTTTCTGTTTATATTTACAAAAATTTTAAAAACTAAAATAAAAACTTGTTCGGTAAATTTTTGATTTATAAATCAGTGGTCTCAGTTTATAAATTTGGCCAAAAAATGTAAACTCAAAAAATGTGTTTCCATTTTGAGTTTTAGTTAGAGATAAACAAAGTATGGCATGATTTAACATAGCAATTAATGTAAAATCATTAAAGATGTACATACCTGAGGTGGGATGTGATGATGATGGTAGTGATGTGGTTGCAAGTGATGATGAAGGTGCCAATGATGGTGGCTGTGATCGAGGCTTCTGGGATGCTGGCTGTGAGGTAGAGGTGTGAGTGTAATCTGAACGAGCAACATGATTGCAGCTTCCCTTTGACATAGTAATATGTAAGAAATAGAATTGATAAATTCAAGATATAGACATAATTAGTTAGTTGAGAGTAACAACTCATCAATTGAAATTTTTTTTTTTTTTTTTTTTTATTCATAGCTCATCAATTGAATTGATAATACATGATATGGACATAAACAGAAAATATGTTACATCTCATTAATTTAAGTAATAATTCAATCCCATCACACTAAAACAAGATATACTTGCGATCATGAGTGTATTACATTTCAATAATAATAGTCAAGTATGTATTGTAGTACACTCCCTATGCGGGGATTTTTGTCTCTCACTAGCATAACTCCCAGTATTTGCCTTTAAAGTCATACATCACAATATTGCGTGGCTCAACGATCATCTTGGCCTTTACACAAAAACAAAACTCAACGATTATATAGTTTTAAAACTTATGTGCCAAGTTTTGAGGACCATCTGACAATCCATTGAATTCTTCAGAAAATATGATATTATTTGTTGTCCACAAAGACTCATTCAAAACAAACATGTAAATTCAGAATAAAATTATATGTTGGTTGGAATCTGTAGATTTAAAGACAAACATGTTCCTTGATCTAGGTGTCGAAAGTTTTGAAATGTTTGTGTCAAATCTGATGATCGTCGACACGAGACATTTTGCTCTTAACTATTCAAGGTGTTTGTTTTGTAGCTTGAAACATATGTATAGGGTAAATAACAATCGACTTCCTTGAGGTTAAGCCAAAAAATGATATGCCCCTTGAAGTTTATTTGACACTAAACCCCATGGTGTCAATACCTAAATGAAAAATGAATAACTTGTAACAAAAAAATTTCAAATTACAAAAATAACTATTTTATTTCCCTCCATTCTTCTCTTTTCTTTTTCTTGTCTCTCATCCCACCACTATTACCCATAACCACCACCTAAAATCACCACTACCACCCACCTCCACCACCACCACCACCACCCACCCATCACCACCAGCTACCCCCCACCCACCATAACCACTTTCCACCACCGTCTTCCACCGTCACTTACCACCACTTGCCATTTCTTACTCTTTTTTATATTTTTAAAATTTTTTAAACATTTTGTTAATTACCAAACGCGTTTGTAGTTTATGTTATTCTAAAAATAAACAAAAACCAGTTTATAAAATTTTTGTCAATATAAACTGAAAACGTAAACGTTACCAAACAGACCTAAAGAGTTTCACTAATTGGGAGCTATATTGCCATTTCCTTCCTAACACTGTCTATCCTTGCAAGAATTCCTCCAGGGCCATGGCTGCTCTTTCCCGGCTCCAACGCTCTTTTTTCCATGGCCAACAGCAAATTGTCTACCCCATGTCATGGCTGCTACCACCACCACGACTCAGCCCACCACCACCACCTTGTTTTCTGTCACCTCTATTTGCACGATCACCCCAAAGATTGCCTCATTCGTCATCATCCGATTGATCATCCTGACTAGTAGTCCCAGGAGTAGCATCCTCTATTTTTACACATTCAATCAGGAAGTGCCCCTCGTGTGCAGGCCAGACAAGTTTGTAGAACCTAATCACATTTCTTCTAACCTGTGTTTACTGACAAACCCCTCCCACCCATCCATAAGCACATAGGCATCAATATCTTGATCGAAAAAGATTGCCATTAACCAATCATTATTTTGAGCATCATTAAAGTACAGTTGTCCTTTTCCACCAGGTTTCTCAATGGCAGGGAAATGATTTCTCACTTCTTCCTTGGGAAATTTGAGCCAGTCAAAATAGCCATAGATAAAGTTCAATTGCAACTCAAATAGGAAATTTTCTGACTTGAATTCAGGAGTGTTAACCCCTCTTTTGACATGTTCAATCAGGAAATGCAAGTCATGTAAAGGCAAGAGAGGTTTGTAGAAGCATATCACGTCCGTGACTTTCACACCGTGCCTAATAACAAACCGGTGCCACCCTCTTGTGATGAAAAAGGCACTTAAAAAGCTATTGTAGACAAGTGTCATGTCCAAATTTTGGTTTTGAGTGTCGAAAATTACAATCTGGTTCTCATACTTATAATTTGGTAGATGAGTCGGTATAGGAAGGAAATGCTTTGCTAGCTTTTTCTTCGTAATGTATGGCATGCCTTCTTCAACATCGTCTGAACGCAACCACAACTCAAAGAGAAAAGCTCTTCTATGGAATTTACCATCTTTGCCTTGTTGCTCCAACTTGGCCCTCTCAGATGAGCATAATGGGCCTCCTCTGCGAAAGGGAAAGAAAATGAAGCATTAATTCATGAACGTGGCAATTGGCACAAAAATATATCTTTGCTGAAAAAACGCATTATGATTTATTCAAGAAATTAAAGAACACCCTTAAAGACTTAGTTTCTTGGTGAAGAACAAGTTACCCAAATTTTGATTCCGAGATAACATCATGGCGAACCTCCTCATCACGAACTTGTTTCGTATGCAAATTCTTCGAGGTTGAAACCACATTTCCTTCTGCTTTGGCATAATCAATCAAGAAATGCTTGGGGTGTAATCCTAGGATTAGTTTGTAGAAGCGAATCACATCCAAATCTTTCAAACCGTGCCAATCAACAAACCTCTGCCACCCACTTGTGATCAAGGCACTGCCTTTCGGAGCATTGTAGGTGAGTGTCATGAACCAATTGTCGTTTCGTGTGACGGTTATTACAATCTAGTGAATCAATACACGATTCATTGGAAGGAAATGCAATTTTACTTTTTCAAAAGGAATGGAGAGTGAACTGCGTTCAATATCACTTTGAGTTAACTCCATCTAAAACAAAAAACGTAACAACCTCTGGGATTCACCAATTGTGTCTGTTATAGGCAATGGGTAATCATTTGTTCTGCTGACAGAGCCTCATCTGCTAAAGAGAAGAAAATAAAAAACAAAGTCCAAACAAGTTACTCTATTTGGTTATTGAGAAGAAGAACACACACCAAAAAAAAAAAAAAAAGGATGTATCATGATCTTTCATCTAATTGTACGATTCCAAGTTTTTTTCTTCAACGTCTTGTTCGATCAAGAAACTAATTTACTATTAAAATTTTTATCATTCTAGTGGGAGTAAAAGTTAGTGAAATGAAGATCACAAAGATGGAAACCACGAGTCTCTGTTGGGTCGCCAAGAAAAGTGAGGAATTGGAACTAAAAAAGTAAAACAAAAGACCCACAATATTCCTTGAATTTTGTATATTCTTGTTCATTACATACGAGCAAATTCATCAGTGTGTATATGTAAACATGCGTTGGTATGCAGATACAGAGAAAAGATCAAGAACTTCAAGAAAGAAAACCCAAAGACTGATTAGTTTCGTAGTGAAGAACAAGTAATTACCCAGATTTTGATTGCGAGATAACATCAGCAGCAGCAGCATTTCCTTTGGCAGAGCCCTCTGTTATAGTAGCAGTCTCCTCTAGTGGAGTTGATGACGATGCATTTCCTTCGTCATCGAGAGCTTCACTGGTGTCTCTGATTTCTAACATTTTTCTTGATTCTTCTTTCTTGAATATATGGTGATCAGTACTAGTTCTAAAAGGCTAAAAGAGAGAGGCTTTATTGTTTGGAGATGGTAAATATATATAGTTGGGGTTTATCAGCAGTTAGTTAAAACCATTTATTGTTAGTTTAGGGATTTGATCATATGCTTCTACAAAAGAAGAAATCGTTATTTTAGCTGATATATATAAATATAATATGATAATAGTTTTTTTTTTTTTTTGTAAATAGAAAGCATCTTGATGAGTTTTTTAAGTTAAATCGATAGACCCACAATTTAATATTTTATTCTGAAGTATATATCCTAATT